CGCGTTTCGACCCAAAAATTGAAAGGAGGGGCTTGTGGTCGGTGAACAAAGTGGATTTCCTTCCATACAACATCTTGTGGAAGCGTCTGACCACGAAAACTAAGGCAAGTCCTTCCTTCTCTATCTGTGAGTAGCGTTTTTCTGCTGACGTGAGTGATCGAGATGCATGTATGACAGCTTTTTGTGAACCATCCGGATATTCGTGCAATAGGACAGCCCCAACACCAGCGGTGGAAGCATCTGCGGCAACGACGATTGGTAGCTGTGGGTCATAATGCGTTAACAGGAGATCAGAGCTGAGAGTGGACTTGAGTCGTTCTATAGCCGTTTCACATTCTCTCGACCAGGACCATGTGGCATCCTTGCGTAGGAGACGATTCAAAGGTTCCCGTATATCATGTAGGGAGGGCAGGAATGCCGAATAGTAACTGATGAGACCAAGAAAGGTTCGGAGAGTCGCGACATCTGTTGGCGCGGGCATCTGCTGTATAGCACGAATGTTTTCAGGATCGGGACGTCTACCAGATGCATCAAAGATGAAACCTAAATATTTTACTGACTTTAGGAAGAATTGACATTTCTTTTTTGAGTCGAAGGCCGTTGTCTTGGATTCGCTGTAGGACCAACCGTATTCGATTCGTTAATTCCGCTGAACAGGTGGCAACTATTATGACGTCGTCAAGGTATGCAGCAACACCTAGTATGCCGTCTAGCATAGTGTCCATGATCTGTTGAAAAATAGCGGGGCAGTCTTAATGCCGAATGGCAGACGATTGTACTGGAAAAGACCTCGATGGGTATTGATAGTTAGTAGTTCACGACATTCTGGAGAGACTTCGACCTGTAAGTATGCGTCCGCCAGATCGATTTTCGCGAAGTATTTACCTCCATTAGAGTAGTAAATAAATCATCTGGAATAGGTAAGGGATAATGGTGTTTCTCCAAAGCAGCATTTAACCCTGTCGAAAAGTCAGCACATAGTCGGATTAAGCCATTAGCTTTCTTTATGACGACGATTGGAGCTGCCCAAGAAGAATGGGATACTGGAGTAATGACATCCTGTTCCTGAAGTCGTTTCAGTTCTGCCTCGACGAGGGGAAGCGATGCATATGGGACGGGTCTTCTAAGACGAAAAACAGGTGATGCATTTGGTTTCAGGCGTAGAACGGCTTTGGTTGTGGTGCAGTGACCGAGGCCAGGTTGGAATACCTCTGAATATCCAGTAATAATATCATTAAGGCTCGCCGTGAGGTTTGACGGTGCTTCCAGTTTGTTGCACACCATATTCAGTGGAAGGTCGGCGAGTTTCAGACTTTCAAACCAGTCGGGACCCAGAAGGTTTAAGTCTAAGTCAGACAGATAACAAATTCCATTTATCGAAATATCGTGAAAAGATACAGTACAGGATAACTGACCTGTTAGTGGTAATCGGCCACCGCACGCGCTGATCGCAGTTTGTACAGTCTTCTGGAAAGGAGGTCGACCAATCTTCCACCATAGGTTCTTGGAAATAATCGTTATATCGGAAGCTGTGTCGATTTGTAGGCGTACTGAATGGTTATTTATTTGGACGGTGATATATTTTCTCCGAGCTGATACATGTGTTTAAAAGCAGCAGTAAGGCTAAGAGATTTGCCGACTGGTCGAGACTTCCATCTTCGACGGTGACTGGATGATGACCTGCCTGTTCTTTGTGATGGCGGCTGCTTGCAAAATCCGTCCTTGTGACCCACAGTATTACAATCTCTGCATTTATTCTGCTTATAAGGACAATATTTAACGAAATGCCATGCGCCACAATGCCAGCAGGGAGACGGTGGAGTCTTCTTCATGTTTCTTCTAATATTGTATGAACTGCAGGGATGACGAACAGGAGACGAGGAATCAGGAGTCTTTGGGCCAGAAAAGGATGCAGAGCAATTGGATTTCTGGCGAACTGCATGCACTTCATGGTCACCCTGGCGTCCGGATTGGACTAAACTTGTATCCCGTTGTAGGTTCACCGATCGTTGACATTCAGCAGCGATATCATTCAACGTTAGAGTTGATTTTTGCGTAAGATTCGATGAGTCAGCTGCAGGAATTCTGGACTGAGTTTATAATTCGATAATCTTCACTTGTAGTTCGAGAATTTTGTCCATCATCGAATAGTCCATTTTTGATCCCATCCCCGTCGCCACTGTTATGGGTTCGAGGCGCTAATGGTAGATGTATATATTCCAAAACGAATATTATACGCGCGCTTAGCTGACGGCTAACTTGGTACTCAAGAGACACTGGCTGCAACCCCGGGACGAATAGAGAGAAGACCGAAGCTGGCAGATGGGAGAGTGTATTACTCCGAGAGTATAATATAAATAATAACAATGAATCAATCCAAAACACGTGAATAAGTATACACATGAAAACTGACCTTGTCCGCATAGTAAGAGTAAAAGTTAACCAATCTGCGAATTACATTACAATGGAGGCAGAAAATAGACTATTAGTCATACCGCCAAAACGATGTGGGGATGACACGTTAAAATGTTCAGATCAATAACAATGTTTTATACAAAACTGAGGCATCACAACAGTATTTCGTAAGGTCTAATGATACTAACTGTCTAAATCTTGATAGATTGTTCGGGATTGCAAACAGTAACCGATTGATGGAAATTCACGTACCTAAACTGATAAACTACAACTTCAAAACATCTTCATCCACTATTTAGTATTACAAAGACCTCAACTAGTAACGCTGCTGTGTTTCAGATAATGAAAACTGAGAACTGATGACATCATCCAGTGGTACGATGACCTAGTCTAACTATTTAAGGTTCTGTTCCAGTTTTCGGTTCATCTGCAAATTTTAGGCTGAATCTAGTCCTAATGGACGTCATTTTCTAAAAACGTGGTGAATTGGTCTCCTCACTAAATAAGAAGTATCCAAGCGATACCCTCTGTTAACTCCCCCCTCAAAGTGATTAGTGTTATCCTAGAACTCTTCTAACTGTCAGGTTCCAACACATTCGTTGGGTAATTGGCTCGTTGACCGTACTCCCCCCCCCATGTGGGCAAAGGTGCTTAGGACGCGTTTCGCAGAGTCTCCTCAGTCTTGCAGACCTAAGTCCAGTTCACCTTCCTTCATACCACCACATTGATTCACAACAGGCGTTCTCTCCGGGCTACTGACTAGGGCTGATACCAGCATTCCGGATCGAATCTCACTTGCCTTCGCAAGGTAAGACTACACACACCTTTATGTAAATTTCTAGGAAGTTGAATTCACCTTTCCTTTCGGTTACATTCCTCCCAACGCACTGGGTGCAGTCCAGATGGACCGTCCACACTTAAGAGACTTCGCGCATATGGATCTAGTCGACCGCCATTACCGCTAAGTTGATGGTGTATTGGTTGGTATCCAGCGGGGTCACTAAGAGGCTGACCGTTGTAGCGTAACTGGACTCTACCCAAAATCGCCAGTGTACAAACCGTTTCCGGCTTACCAGGCCAGCAGAAACGCGAACTCAGCACCACTTAACCGCACCAGGTAGAGCTTCTTCACATTGACGTCTTGGCACATAACTTCGGCGCAGATCTATGCCACCTTAAGAGTCGCAGTTACTCCTACCCACACCATCTAACGTAGAGTAACTTTAAAGCACCAACTGTACTAGGTAGTGATTAGTTCTGAGCTCATTGCTTTCAACAACTTCTACTTTTTTTGACCTTTAGCTGTAGCAACTCTACCTTAGTCTGAGGATATCGTGATAGATAACGGGTTTTTGAGAGAGAAGTCTAAAGCAACGGTTATCCTAAGTAAGGACGTCTACAAAAACAGTGAATAAGAATGGTAATACTAAGCAATCATCAAATCATCAATACATAATCAAATCATCATGTAAACTAACTCATAAGAAAGATTTAGGCTAAAGTTATCCATTAGTAAATCGAAACCTAGAATTGTTGCCTTCTTTTTATCACCAGGTTGTGTTAATTGATTTTCAGTCTTTGCCGTGACAAGATGTTAAGCTTCGAGAGAGGAATTCATGGTGTACTCTTTAATTTTCAGATGTAGTTTAAGCTCAGGTTTAGCTTGGTGTAAGAACAGTGATTATAATTAGCTCAATATGATTATGATTGGTTAGTTTTGGTGTATCTTTTCCACTTTTTGTTTAAAACTTTATGATGTAGTAACTTCGATCATATTGTAGGGTTCTAGTTGACTTCGCAACCTTAAGACGCCAATTGATTGATATCTTCTTCACCAACTGACTCTTAAAAAGTGAAGGGAATATTATCCACAAAACTGTTTGTCAGTGACCATCGAACATCTTCGATTCTGCGTGCTGTGTTGGTAGGACGATTAATCCAGTGCTCATAGGTGACTAACTTTGAGAGGTGATTCCTGAAGTTCTAATGAGAAGTCGTGACCGATGGGGTCTTCTAAGTCGAAGACAGTTACTCAACGACGGGATTATATGGAGGTCGCGCTGCATCGTGAACTGACAGGGGTAGGAAATATAGACCATTGGATTCTGACCCAGTGGCTGAATGATAACTTGCTGGTCGCGGGACCTGAAGGCTTTGGGTTTGATCCCTGGCAGTGGAGGGGGAGGGGATCATATATCCTCACTGTCGAAATGGCTGTTTAGTGCTCCCAGGTTTCGGATGTTTCTCCAACTGATGTCAGTTCATGGTGGATACCAATCTGAAATCAATAAATCTCCAAAAACCTTAAAATTGAATTGATAGGATAAACGACGAATGTATTTAGTTCACCTGTTTACTAATTTGACTTTCTGAAGCAGTAGGTTCGGGTTCAAATGTTGATTCATCTATGCCTTAGCTTGGCAACTGTGAGGCGTTTCCTAGACCCTTACATACAACACATGATTCGTTTATAGCTTAATAGTATACAAACCCAGTTCCAACTTGAATTGGATTATATTGTTATTACTTTTTACCATTAGTATTCATTATCCAACCAACCTATTGTGTAATACTTTTATTAACAGGTTGGTCTTGGTATCAAACCGAAAACGCCAATCACTGAAGTATTACCTTTCGTTCACTTAGTCGATATGATTTTAGTAATGACAGTTGAACCGGGTTTCGGTGGTCAAAAATTTATGTCAGATATGCTACCAAAGGTAAATTGGTGTATGTTAATGTTATTCATTTATTGCGTAATTTGTTGTTTGACTGCTTGATTCTTTTAAGATTAAATTGTTTATGACTATAGTACGAAAAATAGTACCATAGAAAGTGGCTTCAAAGTTGTTTGATTTCTTTCCCAGCAATGATCAGTGTTTGCGTGAGGTAATCAGTTGGTGAATAGAGAGATAAGAAGTATGCATGAAATCGCACTTGGTTGCTGAATAGATTTCAACCCCTTCGTAATACTGAAGAAAGAAGTCAATCGATAACGAAAGTTAAAATATGGATGTAATATGGGATATTAAAAAAAGGGGGGGGGGAAACAGGAGCATTTATGAAATTTATAAGCAAGGTCATTTCATGAAGGCCTCCCTAATCATGGCAAGGATAAAGATTGAACAAAATTATTTTCAACACAGAAGTTTGGATTCTCGTTTACAATCCCCAGAAATCTGTGTATGTTTGGCATGTGTTTCGCATTGATCACATGTAAGATGGTGCTTCACGACTGGTCTGCAACTACTCTTAGTTTAAGTATAGGGAGTGAAGTGGTGGATGAAATGCGTCGATCACTTCACTTACTTGAGGAGTTGCATCAACCCGAACTGGCTGGTTGCTGACTAAATCTCAACTTGGATACAAAAGACCCGTTGGACATTTATTGACCAGTGTCATCTGTGGCGCCAATCGTTGAGATATCCAACCACCTATCAAAGGATGAGTATAACCCACTGCAGTCGGTTTTGTCCTGTTGCACGGCTGAGATATAGCTGTTAAAAGTGGGAGATATGAAACAGTCACAGGGTGTTGATCACAAGTGTCTTCGTAGCCTTTCTCGCGTACGGTGGAATTATCATGCGAGCAGTGTTGAGGTTAGACGAAGGGCACTATACAAGAGGGGAAAGCCGGTTGATGAGACTGTGAAGCTTCTTCAACCGAGGTGGTTTGGACATGTGTTGCGCATGCTGAGTCACCACCTACCTTGACATGTAATGCTAACATTGGTCGGATTAGCTTGGAAAAGGGCTCAGCGGGGCCAGGTGAAGACGCGGCACCAGTTCATGAAATCCCTTTATTTTAGTCTCGGCCGTGTAGGGAGGCGTATTCTACTTGGTTAGGGTTTCCGAGACGATTGATATAAACGGTTGACGAATTTTGATGAAGTAGCTGAGAATCAGTTACAATAGTGCAAATGTATTCACTCTTTGATATCATCCAATGTTTTGAGTGGTCTCAATTTCTAAATTCTTTCTTGCATACACCCTTGTCTACTTTGATATCACTCTTTCCTATACACTTGTTTTTTGTATCCAGTTGTGAAATGTGGCAACGTGAACCGATGGGCTTTTTGAGAGGTTCTGCATTGATTTTGTCCATATGTTTCCTATTCCTATAGTTCTAATTCTATGTAGAAGGTATTTCCGAACTCCATCTGGAAGGTTTGATGATGATGTGGTAAACTATTTTTTAGCGTGAAACATTGAGGCGTTCCTAGACTTAAGAAGAGATTGCGTAATTCATAAGATGTAGGGGGAAAATTATGCTATCGATCACAATGGTGACATAGGTTAAAAAAATAACAATACTAATTATCATCTATAATTGGAGTAAAATATCAATAGAATTTTAATCGGAAATTGAAACTAATATGAAGACATAGGAAAGCAAAACACAATAAAAGTAATTAATCGATAGGATTAAAATGAATAATAAAACACTGACTAACTGATAAAATCAACGTAGAACCTCACACATAGTTGCATTGGCTTAAGTTGCCATACTTCACAGTAGTACACAAGGAACAGGTGGATATAGAAGGACCGATATCAAAGTAGTGTGAAAGAAAAAGCAGTTTGAAGATAAAGGTTAGTGCGAATATTCAAGGTTTACAAAATGTCAAGGTGTAAAACACATCTGCGCCAATGTGACTGATTTTCGGCCGTATCACAAAGAGTCGTCAACCGCTGGATTCCTTTTGTCTCAGGGTCCTCAACCAGGCAGTCTACGGCTAAGACCAACAATGAGGGACTTTATCGACTAGTGCCAGATCTTGGTGTCTGGCTACCTTCAACCCTCTTTCAGACTAATCCAGCTTCCCGTAGCATGGCACGTTGAGATAGGCTGTGGTTCGGCGTGAGTTGTGGATATCCAAGTCATTTCAAGCCCTAAAGGTTCACAACCCTATCACTCGACTTGCATATCTTGCCTAATACTCTTCGCCTGATCTCAACATTGCCCACACGATGGTATGATTCCACCATATGCGAGCAACTCTGCGTAGACAACTGTGATTAAAATCTTGTAACCGCTTTATGTTTTCTTGTTTTAAAGGCTATCTCTCACAGCCGTATATAATGACAAAACGAATTACAGTGCAGTATACTCGTCCTCTGATAGGTAGTCGGATATCTCGCCAGTCGGTACCATAGGTGACGCTAGTTGGTAACCGCCAAACGAATCTTCTGTATCCTAGCTGGGGTTTCGTCAGCAACCAGCCTGTTAGGGCTAGAAGGATCCTGACTGCGGGATGACCGCAGGATCATAGTCACGTTACATCACGAATGAAGAGTAAGAATTAGTGGACCATGGGGATCCAACGCGCTAGCTGAGTGGTGGTAACTCTGTGGCCGTGGAATCCGAAGGTCTTGATCTCAACCGCTCGTGAGGTTTTGAGTGCAAAAGGATGAAACATTTGTCAGAGAGTTTTTTTTTATTGTTGCATCTTCGACTTCTGTTACCATTCTTCCCAAATGGTCCGAAATCTTAACTGTAACTTTCATCTCTTCTTATTCACACCATTGTTGTGTACACCAGGTTACTCCAAATTTCAAACTGATCTTTATCAATCTTTTTCTTTTCAATCACATTTATTTTCTAGGTGATTTAGTCATACTCAAGATATCTCTCTTTTGTGATTGAAACACATACATAAATGTGGAAGTATCAATTGCCCAGTTTGTTTATTTTCAGTTTTCTGCCCTACTAATAAATCTGTTTTTTTCCTCGGGAAAATGTTATCACCGATGGCAGGTAATGAAAATTCAATTTTGGACATGTCTACAGTATGAATTGACTGATAATGTAACCCTACTGAAATGGTACTTCTATTGCTGGATAACTTAAAACTGATTGTATTTTATTGTTGTACTAATACTTTTAGTATCCTTCACAAATAGTTCTATATTAGCATACGTTTTTATTTGTGTAAAACATAAGGTTAAGTATCTGCGTGAAAGATACGCAAACTTGGACATTGAAGTTGATGGTGGCGTAACTTTAAAGAATATTCGAGACTGTGTTGAAGTAAGTCTTCTTAATACAACAAATCTTTGCACTTATTCATGAGTTAAATAAAGGTTTGATGTGTTATGTATTGCTATTATATATATCAGCTTCCATGTATCCGTCAAGATCCATTCCTTGTCTTGTCTTGTTTCTTCTTCCTTCCTAATACAGTTACGCAGGTTTCCTTCCACATCTCTTTCAAAAAGTCCCAATGTTCTTCCACGCCCGACCCTTCAGCGATGTTGCTCAATGTCTCCCATTTTGTTCTGATGGCTGACGTGAAGATGTCCTTCGTAGTTTAGTCCTTCAGTTCACTTTCTGCGTGTTGAACTTGGACTGTAGTCGTCTATCACCAACTTCTTTGGAAGCCTTCAACTTGATTTTGAAGGTTCCTTGCAGTAGATAGTGAGTGGTGTGCACCTACATCTGCTCTCCTTCTTCATGTGATCTTGTATCCAGTAGGCTGCGTCTCCACTTTCTTCACATTGAGATGAAGTCGATCCGATTTTCAGTGTATTGTGTCCATCTGGTGAAATCCATGTCGCTCACTTTGTGAATATCCTTGTGTTTGTAGACACTGCCTCGCCTCCAATCACCAAACCGTTGAATGCGCAGAAGTCTGCAAACAGTTCTCCATTCTCATCCATCATTTCATCGAGTGCTTCTCGACCCATGATGGATGAGTTCTCTTCCTGTGTTGTCTGCTCCGAGTTTGGCATTCATGTTACCCCACCCATTAGAATGAATCTGATGTCGCCAACTGGGGTGGGGTCTTGTCCATTACTGATTGCATTTGTCTATAAAATTCCTCCTTCTTCTCTTGATGCGCTGGATTCAAAGTTGCGACCGGAACAAGCTGGCTGGCTTCTGGAAGAACAAATCATGCGCGGATCAAATTGCAACGCTACTCATCATCACAGAACAGAGCATAGAATGGCAGTCAACTCTCTACCTCAACTTCATCCACTTTGAAAAGGCTTTCGACAGCATTGACCGAGAATTAATTTGGCAAGTGCTTCAACACTGCGGTTTTAGTGCCACACACCTTTATCAACCTCATTCAACAGTTATATGAAGACGCCAGATGTGAAGTGATTCACAAGGGGAAGCTCAGTGATGCCTGTGAAGTAAAGACAAGGTTGCCGCCTACTATCACCGATCATCTTCCTGATCGTGGTCGACTCGGCTAGACTGGATCATGCAACAAACTGTGAGGAGTGAAAAGAAGGACATACGCTGACTTGACCGATGAAAAGACCCTACACGATTTGGATTTCGCCACTGATGATGATTTATGTCTAGTGCCTTGCCGGACAAACTCGAAGATCTACAGGCGGAAACCAAGAAGTTGGCATAAGAGACAGGGCAGCGAAGACGGGACTCCTTTCAGGTGAATGTAGAGAAGACAGAGGTGATGAAGATACCCAACCAACACAGCAACAACAACAACAACAAGAAGCACCAATCACCATCAACGGGAGAAATCTAAACGAAGTTATCTCTTTCACCTACCTACCTAATTACCTGGGCAGCATGGTTTCAACTACAGGCGACCCAGGCACAGATGAGGAAGTCAAAGACAGCAAGACAGGTCTTCATCAATCTGAAACTAGTGTGGAGATCTACTACACTGCGCTGAAATCCACTCAGCATACAACGTGAACTAGATCCGGATTTTCAACACGAAGTCAGTCAAGTCAGTGCTTCTATGTGATGGTTAAAAGACTTGTCGCGTTACGAAAAGCATCTCCTACAACCTACAAACTACAGACATCGTACATCAACAGCTGCCACCTACGCTCACTCGATACTCAAGATCAGATCAGATCAGAAGGCCATAAATAATAAGCAACAGGAAACTCACTCTGGCTGGCTGGCTGGCAACGAACCAACCGACCAACAACCTATCGCCCAACGAATATGCAGAAGAGGAAAGTGGAGATGGATTGGATTGGACATAGACTGGGGATATCACGCGCCAGGCCAGGCCGTCGAGTGGGACCTGTGTGGGAAACGACGATGGGAGTCTGAACAGTTGCTGCAAAAGGAGGAGCACTCTTGAATATACCCTCGCCATCGTTAGCTGATTGTAATATGATTTATTTTAATAGTACAACGGCGATTATTTGCTGAAAGCTGGTGCTACCTAGAAACAAGTTGTGAGTTAAATACTGCGGTCTATATTACGGAACCTGTAACCGACTAATTTCTCATTCGTCACCTCAACGACAGTTCTCTGACCTGAACACACGATTTGTGCCAGCTAACACGATGATATCTTTTTGACTGTCTGAGACAGCCGTAGCTTAGCAGACTAGTATTCATACTGGGTGATGATTGAAGGTGAAATTAAGATTTCGGCCGCGGCTAGATTCGAAGCAGCAACCCCCGGGTTTCCGGCCCGAGGCTCTTCCAACTGAGCTATGAGTTCTGACTGCTGACCAGATTTTTATTTCACTTCAATCAACAAAGGTTTTGCCCGACTACCTTGTGAATTTGTGTCGCATTACTACCGCTTGACCGTACCCACATTGGCTGTCTAGTCAGGACTTTTCATCCCGATCCGAATCTAACTGAATTAGAGATGGAGAGCGTCATATTGATTATCTGGTCGGCAGTCGGACCCCGTAGCTCAATTAGTAGAGGATCGGACAGGAAACCAGGTGGTCGCCAGCTCAAATCCAGTCGCGGTCCAAATTTTCATTTCACCTTCAATGATCACCCAGTATCGTGTCATTGAGATATCTATGAAGCGAGCTTCATAAATAAGCGCGCTGTGAATACACCCTTTGAGCTTTCAGATGGAGAAGTTATCGGAAACACTTCACTGGGGTCTATGCAGATCTACAAGATACAGCGTACATCAATAGCAATGCTTCCTAGAATCTTATCCAAACCTGTCCGTTGTACGATTTGCGTCATGGTTGAAATGTTGAAGGAGACCTGTCCAAACAATGCGCTCGTTTTCAGGATAGTTGTGTCGAGTATTGCAATAAAGGACAGCATCGTGGAAGCAACTACTTAGCGACTGAAGATGTAGACTTGCTTGAATCTTATTTAGTAGGAAGCAACAAACTGTTTGTTTTAGCTTTTGCATTCTAGCATCTATTATTGTAGTAAGCGTTGTCCCAAAAAGTCCATTCGATCATCTGTTCTTATCTTCATTTCGGAGTATGTCCCCTTCATCTGTGAACAATACAGATGATGACAAAAGTTATAGTGCTCCACCAATTTACTTCAGAAATTCGACGCAACCAGTTTGATGGGACTTATGTATGTTGCTCGGTATTTGTAAATTCACCATTTTTTTATTAGTGTAATATGTGAGCTGCTTTTGTCTGTAGGGTTCGGACATACATTAAGGAAATTCGGTTAGAGGGATTATAACTACTTTTCTTTTCTTGTGATGTCAGAAAACTAAATTTTCCAACTGGAATCTAGTGATGTTTCTGTCCCTTTTAAAACTGTTGAGATTTATATTACAAGAGATAAAAAGGATGGTTTTGTAACGTAAAATTATAATCTCGAATTGACTGAGAATGCCTATCTCAAGACAGTGGTTACAAGAATTTTTCGATTAAAATTCATTCATACACCACAATTATTAGTTTGTTACTTATTGTTTTCTTTTAGGCTGGAGCTAATATGATCGTTTCAGGGACTGAAATCACTAGTCATGAGAATCCCGCTACTATTATTCAACTCATGCGATCTAGCGCTGATCAACTATTGAATTCATCGATTACTATGTGATGCTCTGACTTCTTAGTTGTTTTTCTTTTTACGAAAAAACTTTTTTTTGTACAATTTTCTATTTGGAAACGATTTAAAAAATAAAAATTCTATTTTCAAACTTTCAAAACAAGTCAGTGAAGTTAAGAAGTACGCACAATTATTGGCATTGGTAAATGGATATTTTTAACTGGACTTCTTTTGTTATTTTTAAACTGTGCTCTCCAACGATCATAAGCTCGTCGAACTGTATTTCTTATAGTTACATTATCGTGTATAACACGCCAGCGGTCTTTGAGATTCACTTGATTTCGATTACTATGACGAAATGATTGACGCCATATTTGAGACCAATTTTTTGAACCAGGATCATGCATTACACCATGCCATAGTGCTATCGATTCTTCCACTGTCCACGGTATTCTACGTGATTTCGAATCCTCTTTTGGTAAGTTAATAACATATTTCCGACTCGTCTCTGCAATGTTTTGAGGTAAAAAAAAAGCAGATAAGCCCAGTGAAACATTTCAGAATACATGATTTATCTTCCCAGTGCAAGGTGTATACTGGGCTGAAATTGATGAAAAGTCATCCAAACTCAGTACCAATTCAAATTTGGTGAATCAAGGCTATTGGTTATGTCATTGCTGCCCTAATAGATGCTGCAGAAGGGGCAGTCATCTCTCACCGAGCGTTTCAAGTGGTAACTGTTATTGGTGTGGGCGTTGCTGATTAGAATGGATATAAGTAGTATATGTTGAGAGGGCAGAAATCATAGGGAATTACCAGCAAGAGGCAAGGATTCTGCCCAGAGAAACGCAAAAGACAATGTGAGGGTACTAAGAGCAGATCAAGGTAGAAGCAGAAGAGGGAATGAAGCACATTATGCAAATGACTGTTTTAACGGAAGGTGTACAGTAGTTGATGACTACTGTACCAGATGTCAATGATATTCCTTCCTTCGTCTCCGTCTTGTCGTTTTCTACAATCAAGGTCACTGCTTCTAAACGTGATGAAGATCCTGTGGCCTGCAGTGTTAGAGGATGGAGACATCTTCCCCTCAGGGACCTCTAGTCGGTCGCGGAGCTGGTAGGTGTCCGGGATCCATGAGCGAAGGTTGTGGTGCTTGGCACGTTGCTGAGGGGTAAAGCGAAAGCGGCATATGACGGCGTGGAACGTGGGGATGGGAAGGAGACTTGGAAGAGAACGACTTGAGGCGGAGTTTGACAGCCCAGGGGACAGAAAGCTGGCGATGCAGCAGTTCCGGAGAACGAAACTTGGAATAGACGAAGATCCGGTGGTATTGGCTGTGAAGTTGACTAGACTACTTCGACGAGCACTTCCTACGTTGGATGAGGAGTCGCAGGAGCAGTTGCTGGCTTCACAGTCCACCGAAAGTTTCTCGAATGCCATCGCTTAGAAGATACGACTAGGGAACGCAGCCCAACCCATGGGTATTAGTGAGCTAGTCAAGGTAACCAGACAGCTGATGGGTACAGCAGTACCTGCGGTGAAGTAACTGGAAAAAACAAATCGAAAACTTTCAGAAGGAGGCGGCTGAACTCTAAACGGATATCAACAAACAGAATAAATTCTTTGCATGCGGAAAACTGGGACACTGTTTAAGAAACTGTAGAGGCGAAAAAGAAAACGTTTTGAACGACATACTATGATTTCTGTTTTTCCGATTGTACTAGGTGTTGTAGGAGCCACGGGTAGAGATGCTGTGTATGCTAGACCTGCGATCAGGCTACTGGCAACTATCAATAAAAGAAAGCGATTAAGAGGAAATAGCAATTGAAGGAAACGAGAAGACCGAGACAAAGGAAGGAATGTATGTTATTGACATTTGGTGCAGTAGTGATCAAATATGGTACACCTTGCACTAAGACAGTCATTTGCATAATGTGCTTCATTCCCTCTTCTGCTTCTACCTTGATCTGCTCTTAATACCCTCACATTGTCTTTTGCGTTTCTCTGGGCAGAATCCTCGCCCCTTGCTGGTAATTCCCTATGATTTCTGCCGCCCACTCAACATATACTATTTATATCCATTCTAATCAGCAACGCCCACATCAATAACAGTATGCTTTGCCTGTGACCATCGTTGACGTTGGTGGACGCCACATCAGACCATCTTTACGTCCGAAGTTCGCTCTGGCCAGAAATAGGTAATTATCAGTATATAGTTACATCAGACGATGGCTGTTATTTCATCATTTATATCTACTCTAGAAATTTAGTATCGCAGTCCCTTACAAGATGGGTGTAGTTCATTGTTTAATACAATCTTGAGTGCAAAAGATTAAAGAAAGGCACACATCACAACTGGTTGCTGGCGTTTTTTTACTCAAATGACAACTTCACATATAGTAAGTTTCCTATTCTAGTTTGGTGTTGGGTGCTTAATCTTTGCAGATTTGGCAATCCCCGCAGAGTTTTAAACTCTTTTCAACCAACTTAGCCTCTTCTTCAAACTTTAGTTGATGATCGGAGTCGGTTTAAAGCCAAGCTGATGGATATACTCCATCAGTTCTTCAAAAGTCATCCGAGCAAACCATTTTATTGCACACCCGAACATTTCGAAGGTTTGAAAGAACTACAACAAAATTCATATATAACCATGCTGAAATCTATCAAAAGTTTAGGAGTTGTGATCATGAACGAAAGCGATTACAAATGTAAAATGTTCTCAGTTCCTGACAATAAAACTAATTCTTTCGAGATTGTTCCTCATAAGATATGCAAGTATTAAGAAAAACGGTGACGGTTAACGTAAAGAAACTCCTTGGCTTAACTATAATCACTGTGGAAAATTTCGATGCATTAAAATTACTATAAATTATTACTATAAATAAATAAATAAACTATTACTATAAATTACTATAAATATAAATAATATAAAAATTACTAAGACCAAAGTTCACATTTTCATCAACATAGGACCAGGCATTACTGCGTAACGGTCCGAATTGACACACTTCATATCACTACATCAAGTGAAAAGCCAGTCAAGTGGAAGATGAAGATAAGAAAATTCAGTCAAAAGAAATGTAATGTACGAGAAGAAAGAAAGGAATGAGAAAATGGTGAGATTCGGTATAGCATCGTTAAGATGAGGATAATATGTGTGTGTGGATACATACGCGTCACTGACATCGGTTCTCAGCCATATCACCACCTAGAGTCAGTCTCCAACCACTGGTTTCTCTTGTCCTGTGGACCCGAAGTTCACACAACTATGTGACCTACGCAAAACGAAAACTAACGGAGAACTTCGCACAACGTACATCGGCTCAAGTTGCCACATTTCACAGTAGTACATAGACAACAGGTGGATAGGAAAGGATTGACATAAAAGTGGTGTGAGAGAATAAGGAATCCAAAGACAAAGATTAGTGCGAATATCCAAGCTTCAGAAGATTTCGAAGAGTGAATACACCTGCACCACTATGACCAATTTCCAACTACTTCACCAAGAGTTGTCAACCATTGATTCCTTTCGTCTTGGTACCCCAACCAGGCAGTCGATATCTCCCAACACTCCAGGGAGTGGCTCGGCATGCATAGTATATGTCCAAGCCATCTCAATCGAAAAAGGTTCACAACTTTATCGACCTACTTGCCTGTTTTCAATAGTGCCGTTCACCTGACCTCAATATTGCTTACACGATGATCCCACCAAATGTGAGCAATGCTACCCAATATACAAATCCAATTCTCCTCTTCACTCTATATTGTCAACTTATAAACCATCAACATAAGCTTACTCAAGGGCTATTAGAATGTAAAGTTTATGTTTGAAAGCTAATATTTCCGTCAGATTAATGGTGTTGCTATGGCTACCTTCTTAGCAGATATTTATGTGTCACTTGTTGAAAAGATATCCATCGATTTAATTGAAAAAGCTCCACTCTATAAAAAACAAGTGGATAATATCCCAATCATTAAAAAAGATGCAAAGATTAATTTAACAGAGGGGCAGAAGTGTCCGAATCCAGGTGGGAACAACTCACTGGGAGGCGGGTACATCCAGTTGACGAGTCCCAAATAGGACGAATTGTGCATCCTGGATTCCACTGCTAGCCATTATCCATCTTTACTGAAGGGGCAGAATGTTATAGTCACGGCAAAAATATTGACTGTTCATACTTTTTTTGAACACAAAGATTAGGCTTTATTTTATACATGCCTAAGGCTTCCGCGGTTTTAAGGAAGTGATAACGCCGGCGAATTCTATCTAGCTAATTCGTTTATCACTATTGTCAATATTATTACCTTCACTATGAAATAGTTCTCCGTGTTATTTCAACACATTGTCTTACTCTTTTCAGAAAACATTGATTTGATTCTAACCAACTTGTCTAGTCGTTTTACATAACCCCTTATTGTTTTACTATTCTCATTAGTTTTACGCTCCTTTCTGAGTTATATCATCATCATCATTATCAACATAGGACCAGGCATTACTGCGTAACGGTCCGAGTTGCCACACCTCATATCAGCACATCAAGTAAAAAGGTAGTGAGGTGAAGGATGAAGATAAGTGAATGCAGTCAAAAGAAATATAAAGTACGAGAAAGGAAAGAGGAGTGACAAAATAGTGAGATTCGGTATAGCGTTGTTAAGATGAGGATAATGTGTGTATACATCTGCGCCACTGACTTCGGTTCTGAGCCATATCACCTAGGGTCTCCAACCACTGGTTCCTCTTGTCCCGTGGACCCCAACCACCTAGTCTGCATCGTCCTACATGGCTTAAACCAACAGTCAGAGACTTCATACATTGGTGCCATGTTTTAGTCTGGCCACCTCGGGCCTTTTTCCAGCCTGAACCCACCTCAGCCAACATTGTGTGACGAGGCAATCGGTGACTAGGCATACGTAGTACGTGTCCCAACCATCTCAGTCGATGAAGGTTCACAACCTCGTCGACTGACTTACCTCTTCTCCCTAAAACTCTACACCTAACTTCTGCATTACTCACATGGTGACACCACGGAATACGTCCTATACTACGAAGGCAACGGTGGTCAAATACCTGAAACCTTTTTGTGTCTTCCACTTTCAATGGCCATGTTTCACAGCCATACAGTAGAACAGAGCGGACTGCTGTGCAGTACACGCGACCCTTAATAGACAAACGAATATCACGGCGGCGCCATAGGTGGCGCAAATTGGCAAAAGCCAATCGAGCCTTTTGTATCCGTGCAGAAATCTCATCGGCAACTAACCCAACCGGGTTGATCCTACTTCCCAGGTAAGTGAAGTGGTCAACACACTCAACCACTTCACTCTCTATTGTTAACCGCGGTACCGCTGAAGACCAGTCCTGGAGCAAAAATTTGCATTTGGGTGGTGAAAATCGCATCCCAAACATTCTCAAATTCCCACTCAAAGTGTTCAGAAGACTCTGCATCTTGTCAGCGTCTTCACCTAACAGGACTATGTCATCTGCATATTCTAGATCTAAGGAAA